TCCCACAGCCTCCTCCCCACCTCCAAGTTCTCAAAATAACAACAACTTTACTCAATTCAAGTGATCTATCAACTCTTACGCATTACACCTACAACAGCAGCCGCTGTTTGTTTCTGGACGTTTGGCGCTTTGGGCCTCCCGGCTTGAGCCCAACAATCACAATTTATTTAAATAAATAAATTCCAGACTCCAAACCATTATCTTTTTTTAAATCAAGCTTACAATCATTGTCACGTCCAACAATTACGTCCAACAATTACAGCCCTGACTTTACACAAAAAAGCCTGGCAGAGTCTCAGGATTTATTCTCTGGGCCGCTTCTGCATTGCCATCCTGAGCCGCTTAGTTGTATTTTAAATAACGAGCACACTGCCAGTGGGATCAAATGGCAGACCGCAGAGGCATCCCCACCATGCATGCGAGGGGAATCACACCACCGACATCCGCAGAGACAGGTCAGTGACCCAGCTTAAGTGATTAAATCAATAATTACAGTTCCACTGTGAAGCATTGAAGCCTATAAACAACGTCAAGAGGACTTCTGTAAATGTATACGGATTGTAATTTATGCAGCGGGGCGATTTGCGTGCACTCGTCCTGCGAGCCCGGCGACCCGAGTTCGATCACGAGCCACGGGCAACATCGGCGGCGAGTGAAACACGAGCCGGTCCGCGTTCTTCCTCTGCCCTCAAAAGTGCGCAAAAAAAACCACCGCATTGACCGACGTGATGAAGTATCTTCTTGGTTCTTTCGGTAAAGTCACGTAAAATGGAAATAATAAAATAATAAAAATAAAACATAATAAAATCATTCTCACGACGTTTCGGCCACAACGCAAGAAGCCGTCCTCAGGTGAAGAACAGTGTCTGTCAGAAAGACAGCGTCTGAATGAACACCACCAGGTATGCGCACGGCCACACAACCCCGTGACAGGAGCTTCATCAGGAACTGCACTGACAAAAGGATCCGGATTCATTAATTTGGACAGACACAGCAATTAAGCCGTTTCAATCAAACTCTTCCGCAACATCACGTCCCTGCGAGACACCGGACGGGTATTGAGGGGGTCGTGGGGAACGAGGGGGAGGGGAGAGAGAGAGGGGAAGGTGGGGGGCTCGGTTTGGTCACTCAAATTTTTTTTGGGGGGGGATGGAGAGTGGGGGGGTTGGGAGAGAACAGGGGATGGTTGCGTTCGGGGGCTAAACTGAAGATTTGACCAGGTAAGGGCCCCGACTGAGCTACGTACCTCTTTTCAGAAGCAACCCGGCCACAAATGATAGCTCAACGAAGTGGCTTATCATCACGTGGGCATTTATAGCAGCAGCCAAATGCTCTAAACGCGTGACGTTGTTTCTAAACGTGGAGGGGGAAAAAACGGAGGACCCGGAGAAAAATCCACGCGACCACGGGAAGAGAGACAGAGAGACACGCAAACTTCAAATATACAGCAGCAGGCGTCAGGGTCGGGATCAAACCCACGGCCTCCTGCGTGCCAGGCGAGGTAGTTAACATCTCCTAGCCACCGTGATGATGATGAGAGAGAGAGAGACACGCAAACTCCAAATACACAGAAGGCGTCAGGGTCGGGATCGAACCCACAGCCTCCTGCATGCCAGGCGAGGTAGTTAACATCTCCTAGCCACCGTGATGATGATGAGAGAGAGAGAGACACGCAAACTCCAAATATACAGCAGCAGGCGTCAGGGTCGGGATGGAGCCCAGGGCCTCCTGCGTGCCACGCGAGGTAGTCAAGGTCTCGCCAACGTGACTAATGGATGGGTCCCGGTGGAAGTGGGGAGGGTGTTACTTTGGGGAGGAGGGTCCACGGGTCTCGTGGGAGTGGGGGGTGAGAAGCTTTGTATATCGCAGTTGCCGAGCGCAGGGCCAAAAGGGAACCAAAAATGCCAAGCAGGCAGCAACAAACGGTCGCTTTGAAGTTGTAAAAGAGAATTAGCTCAACGTATATATTAATCAGAGCGCGTTTGTTTATTTGCATGTTGACCGCGAGTACCGCGTGTGGTTATCGCAGTACTTGATTCCTTGCAAAGAATGTGGTGTTTGAACATCTTAACACCTCCTGTTTTATTGGCAAAAAGGGTACAGCACCAATGAGTCAAGAGTCCGAAAGCGTTTTAGAATTAAACAAAGTTGCGAGGGACTTCGATACGATGGGAGAAAATGCCAAAGTGGAGGAGTGCCAGGAGGGAGACAGAAGCAGCAATGGCAGCGTTTGAGTGTGTGGTGACTGTGTGAGTGGGGTGGGTGGGTGGGTGAGTGGTTAATAAGTGGATGGGTGCGCGTGGGTGAATGGGCGAAAGTCGTGACCTGAAATAAAGAGGTTGGGGTAAAGAAACGCTGGAAAGGAATTCCAAAGTCTGGAGCGGTGCGAGGGAAGATGCAGAAAGAGAAATGTAGGGACCTGCAGTGTGGTGGGCGAGTGTGTTGAGTAGCTCTGCATGTGTTGTGGGCTGGAGTGTGGTGAGTGGGTGAGTGTGGTGGGTGAGTGGGCGAGTGTGGTGGGCGAGTGTGGTGGGTGAGTGTGATGGATGTGTGGTGGGTGAGTGTGGTGGGTGAGTGTGGTGGGTGAGTGTGGTGGGTGAGTGTGGTGGGTGTGTTCAGTGGCTCTGTATGTGTTGTGGGCTGGAGTGTGGTGAGTGGGTGAGTGTGGTGGGCGAGTGTGGTGAGTGGGTGAGGGAGTGTGGTGGGTGAGTGTGGTGTGTGAGTGTGGTGGGTGAGTGTGGTGGGTGAGTGTGGTGGGTGTGTTCAGTGGCTCTGTATGTGTTGTGGGCTGGAGTGTGGTGAGTGGGTGAGTGTGGTGGGCGAGTGTGGTGAGTGGGTGAGGGAGTGTGGTGGGTGAGTGTGGTGTGTGAGTGTGGTGGGTGAGTGTGGTGGGTGAGTGTGGTGGGTGAGTGTGGTGGGTGAGTGTGATGGGCGAGTGTGTTGAGTGGCTCAGTGTGTGTGTGTGTTGTGGCCTGGAGCGTGGCGAGTGGGTGAGTGTGGTGAGTGAGTATGGTGAGTGTGGTGGATGAGTGTGGTGGGTGAGTGTGGTGGGTGAGAGTGGCGAGTGGCTCAGTGTGTGTGTGTAGTGGCCTGGAGTGTGGCGAGTGGGTGAGTGTGGTGGGTGAGTGTGGTGGGTGAGTGTGGTGGGTGAGTGTGGTGGGTGAGTGTGGTGGGTGAGTGTGGTGGGTGAGTGTGGTGGGTGAGTGTGGTGGGTGAGTGTGGTGGGTGAGTGTGGTGGGTGAGTGTGGTGGGTGAGTGTGGTGGGTGAGTGTGGTGGGTGAGTGTGGCGAGTGGCTCAGTGTGTGTGTAGTGGCCTGGAGCGTGGCGAGTGGGTGAGTGTGGTGGGCGAGTGTGGTGGGTGAGTGTGGTGGGTGAGTGTGGTGAGCGAGTGTGGTGTGCGAGTGTGGTGGGTGAGTGTGGTGGGTGAGTGTGGTGAGTGGCTCAGTGTGTGGGTTGTGGTGGCCTGTGTCGGGGAGCGGTAGTGTAGTGGTTAGGGCACTGCGCTACGAACCCGGCTACCCAAGTTCGATTCCCGCTCGCGGCTAACACCAGTTAGGTTTATCTGAATCAGTTCTGGGCGTCCGCTAAGTCAACTTAGCCTCAAATGAGTACCTGGTGCGGTGTGTAGTAAGCATCGCCACTGGGAAGACAAAGGCGGCCGGGCAAGGTGCAGGCCACCCACCCCCTCGTGTGCCGTTCCGGCCTTCATAGGTGCTCGCAAACATCACGTGCCCCAACAGTCTGTTAAGGCTACACGGGGGATCTTGGTTTCTGTTGTGGCCTGGTGTGTGGTGAGCAAAAAGTGTGTTGAGTGGTTGAGTGTAGTGTGGTGAGTGGGTGAGTGGGCGAGTGTGGTGGGTGAGTGTGTTGAGTGGGTCACTGTGCAGGTGTTGCGGCCGAGTGTGGTGAGTGTGGTGAATGAGTGTGTCGAGTGGTTGTCTTCTTGTGGCGAGTGCGGTGGCTGAGTGTGGCGAGTGTAGTGTTGTGGTGAGTGAGTGAGTCTTTGTGTGGGTGTGTTGTGTCAGAAAATGTGGCGAGTGTGTGTTGAGTGTAGTCGGGTGAGAATGGTGGGGTGAGTGTAGTATGGTGAGTGTTGTGTTGAGTGTAGCGGGGTGAGTGTAGTGTGGTTAGTGTAGCGTGGTGAGTATGGTGAGTGTAGCGTGGTGAGTGTGGTGAGTGTAGCGTGGTGAGTGTGGTAAGTGTAGCATGGTTAGTGTAGTATGGTGAGTGTGGAGAGTGTGGCGAGTGTGGCGAGTATGGTGAGTGTAGCGAGTGTGGCGAGTGTGGTGAGAGTGGAGAGTATGGTGGGGTGGTGAGTGTGGTGAGTATGGTGAGTATGGTGAGTATAGTATGGTGAGTATAGTATGGTGAGAGAGGAGAGTATGGTGAGTGTAGCGTGGTGAGAGTGGCGAGTATGGTGAGTGTGGTGTAAGTTGTAACCTGCCCGTGTGGTGGTCGAAAACAGCGTGTCCAGTCCGCTAGACCCGACCCGAGTCCTCAACGTGAGCCGAGAAACGTCGTCGGTGGCACAAGAACGATGTGAACCGTGACGGGAGCGACACAACGAAGCACAACTTGCTTGAAGGCGCGGGAGCGAGGGACACGGAGGGTTTGTTCGGAGGCCTCCCGCTCCCTCGACTCGGGGGTGGGGGGAACTGCCTCGCCTCGCCTCGGCAGGGCGGCCTAGGCAAGACCGAGGCTTCTCGCACAACCCCGACAACGAAGGAAGGCCCGAGAGCTACCCCCACCCCAACAGCCGTCGCCGCCGCTTGATTTAAACTCTCTCGAGCATCATCGACGAGGCGTCTCTCGCGTTAAAAACTAAACAAATTAAACTACGACGTTTGCTCCGGTGAGACGATGATGGAAGTAAAAAAAAGAGACATTGAAACAACGTTCGGGCACGGACAACACTGAGCGTGCGGCCTGCTGCCGCAGGCTTCAAGGCCTTGTGCGCTGCCTCCTCAGCTCGGCCTCTCGTCACTCTCTCTCTCTCTCACCGCTACATGGCGCGTCTTTATTCTCCTCCTCCCCTCCTCCTCGTCGTCTTCGTTTTCTTCTCTTCGTCTATCTACTTCGGCTTCACGTCGCTAGAATCTCAGGGGGGGGTGGGGAGGGGACCCGGGTCCGAGGTGTCGGGCCGCGGGGAGTTTGGGGGGCGCTGAGGGGGCGCTGAGGGGAGGGGGGGATGAGGGGAGGGGCTGAGGGGGGGATGAGGGGAGGGGCTGAGGGGGGATGAGGGGAGGGGCTGAGGGGGGGTCACCGAGCCCAGCGCTGGCGGCGTCCAATCGCGCGCCAGATATTCGCCTCGAACAACTTTATTGACAACACCCCCCCACCCACCCACCACACCACTCACGTAGCGGTGTAACAAATAAACTTTATTGACACTCCCCCCCACCACGATGGTGTCACAAAAAACTTTATTGACACCACCCAATACCCCCCGCCCCCCACCATTCACCCCCCCCCCCACACAGGTAGGGAGGGCTCAACTTTCTCCTCCTCTTGCTCGAAAATTACCTTAAGGGGCCGTCCATAAATGACGTCACGCATCTAGGGGGGGGGGGTGTCACACATTTGTGACGATGAGGGGTGGGGGGGGTTGAGACATGTGACGTCACATCAAAATGCGCAACTTTAAATCTATATATATAAAATCGTGAATCTGTCTGTCTGTCTGTGTGTCTGTGTGTCGCCGGACCATACGCAGTTTCATTGGACGAAATGTCAGGGATTTGCGACACACGATTGGTCCGGCGGTTGCCCCTGGCAACGGGTAGCGACGCATTCGCCATCTTTAATTCCCGTTAAAAATAGGCGCACGCATTAACACGCGGACTCTGAGGTAAATTCATCAAAGTTTCACGTCCTCTTCACTCCCCCCCCCCCCCCACCACAATGTGTGCAATTACTATTATAGGGTCGGTAGATTATAAAATTATAGCGATTAGACAGTATTATTGTAGCGCGGGGGGGGGGGGGGGACCGCACCCGTACCCAGCGTCAGCCGGGTGGGAAAATCAGGCGAGGCCGGAGGCTCTGCACGGTGCTAGGCCTCGACACCCACCACGCCACTCTCAGGTAAATTCATCAAAGTTACACGTCCTCTTCACTCCACCGCCACCCCAATGTGTGCAATTACTATTATAGGCTCGGTAAATCATAAAATTATAGCGATTACACAGTATTATTGTATCGCGGGGGATCGGCGCGCCTCACTAAAACCCTACAACGGATCGGCGCGCCTCACTAAAACCCTACAACGGATCGGCGCGCCTCACTAAAACCCTACAACGGATCGGCGCGCCTCACTAAAACCCTACAACAGATCGCCACGCCTCACACAAACCCTACAACGGATCGGCGCGCCTCACTAAAACCCTACAGCGGATCGGCGCGCCTCACACAAATCCTACAACGGAAGCGTAACGCATTGTAGTGTCGTGGTTAGCGCGCCACGCAACGAACCCGGCGACCCGAGTTCCATTCCCGCTCACGGCCACCACCGGTGACGATTATTTGAACCGGTCCTGGCCCTCCCCTAGGTCGACTCAGCCTCAAAACGAGTAACTGCTGTGGCGTATGAACATCGCCACTGAGGAGACAAAGGCGGCCTAGCGTCGTGGATCCAAGACCCGGGCGAAGCCGGGTAGTAAAGCTAGTAGATATAGACAACACGTTCTACTTTAATTGAATGGACTTTTTAATAAATGTTTTCTCCTACAACATCAGAGTGCAGCGCCACATTCAATACGCACTACAATGACAATAGTTTAAAGCGATTTTAAGCATGTTTTATTTTGGGGGGGGGCAGAGCTTTGTGACGTCATATTTGAGGGGGAACCTCTGGTTACACTAGGCCTCGACAAGGTAATTTACCCTTTTTACCGGGTAAAAGGGTAAAGGGTAAAGATGTCGACATGCCAAGGGGTAAGGTAAAGGGTACAGGGTAAAGGTAGCGCGAAGTATTACCCGGTAAATACGGTGCCTTGTTTACCGCTAGAAGCTCCGTGGCGCAGTCCATGGCCTCCATTTAATAAGTAATATTAAAACAAACTTTCTTAAAAACACGCTTTAATGAAATGTACTATTAATGACAGAACTCCACGACTCAAGGAAGTGGCCCCGAAGCTTGCCACAACGTAAGGGGCCGTGGTCATTTACAGCCAACGTCAGTTGAGCGTGGACAATTAGACCCAAGCCGAAACATAACATTTCAAAATGAATTTTATCATAGAATATAGTGTTGTCATCAGTATGACATAAGTATACCAAGTTTGCAGTCGATACCACATTGGAAAGTGGGTTAAAATTTAGTTACAAGATTTGAGGATACAACAACGACGACAACAACAACGACAACAACGACAACAACAACAACAAGCGTATAAAATTGGAATCATCGGGAGTATTCTATATGAATAAAGCGCTCTACCTATAGCATTTACCGTTATAAACCTTGTTCATGTGTAGTAGTTCCCTAGTAATTACCCCCACCCAAAATATAAAACATGCTTCAAATCGCTTTAAACTATTGTCATTGTAGTGCTTATTTAATGTGGCGCTGCACTCTGATGTTATAGGAGAAAACATTTATTAAAAAGTCTATTTCATTAAGTAGAACGTGTTGTCTATATTTATTTAAAGTTGCGCATTTTGATGTGACGTCACATTTCTCACCCCCCCCCCCCTCGTCACACATCGTCACAAATGTCTGACCCCCCCCCCCCCAGGTGCGTGACGTCATTTATGGACGGCCCCATCGGCGTGCAAAGTACAGGACAGTTAAGCAAATCATTATTAAAATAAACGATATTTTTTTTACCAGGTAAGGCCCACTGAGATTATTTGTAGAAGCGACCTGCCTGTCACAAATGATCGCTCAACCAAGTGGCTTATCGTCGTCACGTTTGAGATGTTTCACAGCAGCCAAAACAGGACCCTGCGGGGTGGGCTGGTAGGAACGAATAACCAAAGAAGGTAAACATAATGTATTATTACACTTGTTTAGCCAGGAAAGCCCCACTGAGTCAAAAGGTTTTTGTAGGGTCCTGCCAAGTGTTTGCAGTAGGGGGCGATGTTGCTACACCTAATCGGACGATACGAAGGGAGAGATTGAGGCCTAGTTCTAGGCTTTAGGCCTAGCTGTAGGCTTTAGGGCGCTGTGAGTTATTTTTTTATTTAAATGTTTTAATTATTTATGTAAAAGCTTTAAATTTAAATGTTCTATTTAAAAACATGAGGGAATGTAACATTGTTAAACATTAACTCCCTTTCACACACGCGGGGATACGATACGAAAGGAGAGTTTCAGGCCTAGTTCTAGGCTTTAGGCCTAGCTGTAGGCTTTAGGCCGCCGTGAGTTAATTTTTAATTGAAATGTTTTAATTATTAATGTAAAAGCTTTAAATTTAAATGTTTCTATTTAAAAACATGAGGGAATGTAACATTGTTAAACATTAACTCCCTTTCACACACGCGGGGGTACGATACGAAGGGAGAGTTTCAGGCCTAGTTCTAGGCTTTAGGCCTAGCTGTAGGCTTTAGGGCGCTGTGAGTTTTTTTATTTAATTTCAAAGTTTTAATTAAAAGCTATCTCAGGGAATTATAAGGGAATGTTACACGTGTTTAGCCAGGAAAGCCTCATTAATTTAAATGTTTTAATTAAAAGCTATCTGAGGGAATTATAAGGGAATGTTACACTTGTTTAGCCAGGAAAGCGTCACTGAGTCTAAAGGTTTTTGTAGGGTCATGCCAAGTGTTTGCAGTAGGGGGCGATGTTGCTACACGGACGGACGGACGGTCGGACGGACGGACGAAATAATCTATTGGTGGCTGGTCCACTTCGTTCCTACCAGTATAAACTGAATATTCTAAATGCATGTTTACTATCAATGTGCACAGGGAAAACCCGGAGGAAAAAATCCACGCGACCACGCAGACTCCAAATATACAGCAGCAGGCGTCAGGGGTGGGGATCGAACCCACATCCTCCTGTATACCAGGCGATGTGGTTAACATCTCATAGCCACCCTGATAATGATAAGAGAGACACGCAAACTCCAAATATACAGCAGGCGTCAGGGTCGGGATCGAACCCACGACCTCCTGTAGACCAGGCGAGGTAGATAACATCTCCTAGCCGCCATGATGATGAGAGAGAGAGACACGCAAACTCCAAATATACAGCAGCAGGCGACAGGGTCTGGATCGAACCCACGACCTCCTGTATACCAAGCGATATAGTTAACATCTCCTCGCCACCAGGGGCGGTTTCTTCATTAGGGCGATTGGGCGACGCACCACCAATGTCATTCAACCACAGTCACGCTAGCCGTTACTGTCAGCCTCTGGATATAGTCCAATCAGCGTCATGTCACGTTCTGTGGAGTACCGCCTCTTTTGGGGCGATTTCACTCTGGCTGAGAATCGCCCCAAGTGGCCCCATAGACTTACATTGAAAGATGTTTTTTTTCGAACGGGGGCGCTCCAATGCATTCTCTATGGCTCCGGGAGGGCAAGCCCCAACGTGCTTACGTCATCATACGTGCTAACGTCATCATACGTAAGCACGTTTCAGTCAACAATATCATTTATCGCTACCGAGTGGAATCTTTAATAAAATAAACTTGAGTGGTTTGTTTTAATAGTGAGTATATAAACAAACAAGATGTATTGTAAGAGTCACTTTTTTTTTCATTAATATTAAAGAAGTGAAGTTGCCTTTACATGCTTAAGCTGTTAATTTATTCATTGCATGGGTGGACCTTATCCTTATCAATCATCCAGACATTTGCCCCCCCTGAGAGATTTTGCAGGAGCCGCCACTGCTCGCCACCGTGATGATGAGAGAGAGAGACACGCAAACTCCAAATATACAGCAGCAGGCGTCAGGGGTCAGGATCGAACCCACGACCTCCTGTATACCAGGCGAGGTAGTTAACATCTGGACCACGTCCACCGTTGCGTGTCTGAGACTTGAACAACTTTATTGGTCACCGTTAAATAATCCCAACAACTTTATTGGCACCGCAAAGTAAAGACAGCCACTTTATTGATGCAGTAGAATTTAACAGGTCAATAACACCTGTGTGTGTGTGTGTGTGGCCATAAAAAGGTATAAAAGGGATATATGATAGCTGACGTTTCGGGCACCAACCCTTCTCCATAGCACACGGAGGCCAAGAGTGAGCAATGCGAGTTGTGGACTGCACTTTGCTTCCACCGTGGCGCTTGATAACACCACAGCTCTCAATCCCTTATCAGTGCCTCGGGGCCGTCCATAAATGACGTCACGCGATTTTGGACGATTTTTGACCCCCCCCTTCGTCACACGGCGTCACAAAAAGTCAGACCCCCCCCCCCTCAAATATGAAGTCACGAAGCTCTGCCCCCCCCCCCAATCATATTTCCATTTTGAAAATAAAACATGTTTAAAATCGCTTTAAACTATTGTCATTGTAGTGCGTATTTAATGTGGCGCTACACTCTGATGTTGTAGGAGAAAACATTTATTACAAAGTCTATTTAATTAAGTAAAACGTGTTGTCTATATTTATTTAAAGTTGCGAATTTTGATGTGACGTCACATTTCTCAACCTCCCTCGTCACACATCGTCACAAATATCTGACCCCCACCCCCCCTAGGTGCGTGACGTCATTTATGGACGGCCCCTTAATCGTAAGGTCTATTTAGACAACTCGGGAAGGGAAGGACGTGGCGAGCTGAAAATCGTCACGTTCCCTTAGAAATCCCAGACAGCGTCAGCTGTGCAAATTACATGACGTCCCAGCTCAGCGTTCGAGAGTTTTTGCTGCTTCACACAAACAGATGCATTTGCTGCTTTATGTTCTTGAGCGAGCTGAAAATCGTCGCGTTGTGTGGGATACATGGCCTACGCAGAGGGTTGGGGGGGGGGGTGACGTATTTATTTTAAGTTTCGCATTTTGATGTGACGTCACATTTCTCAAACCCACCCCCCCTTCGTCACATATCGTCACAAATGTCTGACCCCCCCCCCAGGTGCGTGACGTCATTTATGGACGTCCTCTAACAGACAGACCCTTCAAGAGTCAAAACG